GAATACGTCACTTGAATAATCACATGGCTTAACTTAATTTGAAAACAAAACATCAAGTCTTAAGAATTACAGAAAAACTGTAGGAGAAAAAAGAAACCTTAAATGCGTGAAGTTAGCATTTGGAAATAACTAATTAACCGTTTGCCGAAGTGTGCCTGACGCCAGAAGTTTTTCAGTGTTACCAATTTGATGTATGCGTTAAATGAAGTTGAAAATCTGTCGAGCGCGTTCAACTGCAGATTAATTTATTGAAGGATCAAAATATAAAAAGGTTGGACCGCTTCGAAACGCTCCACGACAAAGACGTGCGAGAAGGCTTGCACATTTATTTTAATTAAAAAAAGATTATTCAACAACAATATGAAAACTTAAGGAAATACTCGAAACAGAGAACATGCTGAACAGTGATAGATTTATTTTTGTGGAAATGAAAATTGAAAAGACCATCAACACTCTTTTAAGCTAAAACATTTCAAGTGATAAACCCAAACTTGAACACCTATGCTTATAAATAACCAAATTTAAATAAGAAGGAGGGTAAAATTGAATATAATTAAAGTGAATCCACTTGATGTCAATCACATAGAAAATTCTCAATGTAGATTAGGTTGGTGATACACTTACATGGCTCAAGTTTGCACCTGACGTTTGTTTACCTCAAGGATAACCATTTTTTCTCATCTTAACTCAAATATATCGCCTTGGTGTCATGAAAGAGACTGATGTCCTGCCTTGTAAAAAAGGAAAAAAAAGACGAAATACCACAAAACCAAAGGAAACAATTGTATTGGCAATATATTACAAGGACACCCCGTCGACATTGCTTTAAAGCTAAAATTAAATGTGCCGGCCGCACACACAAAAAAGCAGTGTCCTTGGTTACCAAGATTACTCAGGGCTTATTTTTGCAGGATGGTTAAACGGTTTAATAATCGTTTCTATCACGAACGTACCGCCATCCCGTCATGTATCTTCAAGACGCTACAAACACATATAACAACTACCGTAGGACACTTTTCTTAACTGTTTAAACCAACGGGGTACCCCAATCACCTCTTACTGCCAATCTACTGTTCAGTTGTTTGTTTACTAAAGATAAACTTAAATACAAGCTATTCAAAGTGCGATTTCTGGACTCAAATTCACTCTAAAGATAATGAAAAACAGAAACACGGCATAAAATGAAACTCAACAGTTTTAAATTTGAGCTATCTTAAAGAAATGCTGATAGAAGAGATTGTCATTTATTGAAGTTTTGAAGAGCTCCGGGAGCTAAAGTTCATTTTCAATTCATTATCATTAAAGAAATGCAAATTCATAAGCTTTAGCCGCAGGGAAAATAAGTACCACGCGCTCTCCGATTGTTTTCTGGTCGTGATTCAGCAAAGTGCAGACGTACGTCTGAAGTCATCTGTAGTTGTCGCAACTGTTCAACAGGGTGAACGGTACAGGGCATAAACGTCTGCGCATGTCTTACCATCGTTATTATCCTCTGTATAATTAACCAAGTCATGCGCATACCATAATTGGAACTGCTGACCAACCAATACAACCAGTGGGGTGGGGAAGAGCTTGAACACTAGAGTTGCGGAGTTGACATCGGCACCGTCAAGTTGGTAAGTGTAGTATTTACCGCCGCTGCCTTCCAAGAACTCAGCAAGCGGAAGAACTGTTTTGTTGCTGTAAGTTATCACAGTCATTAAGTTGTGATTTTCGTAAGTTGGCAATGAGCATCCCCACTTTGTTGATTTTGTTGAAGTGTCGCATGTCACGGAGCCACTTGTATGGACAAGTTTAAAAGTGTAGATTTGACCGGCTTCTTGGATATGAAAAGTTCCGTGGTCGTCACCTTTTGTCCCAAAACAGACAGGATCGATGTTGACCTTTTTCCAGTTATCTGTAGGAGAGTTTTTATTGAGAAAATTAGAACAAAGTAACGGAGGTATTCATAATTTCTACTGTAAAGACAGTCCGTAGTTTTGAAGAGCACGAAAACTCAAGGTACTTAAAAGAACGTAACTCCTTGTCTGTTAGCACTCGCACATTTTCGGCGTATAGCGTCTGCGAGAAGACTGCGTAGAGCTAGATGGATCTCTTTGAAAATGATTCCAGAAAACAACAATTCTGTGTTAGTTAAGGTATGCTATAGTAAGTTTTGAAGGGAAAACGTTTCAGTGGTCGCTAAAAGAATTACATCGTAAAGCAAAATCAGTTTTCTAGAATTTGCTTAGATCTATGTTTATCTAACTCATCATCTCATTGTCTCCTCACCTTCTTGATTTTGAACACCTTGATATCTATAAGGACAAACACAACGATATCCATGGATACCAAACCCCGCTTGACATACATAATGACTTGGGCACGGGCTGCTCTCACAAGGGTTCTGAAGAGAAAGTTTTTGTCGATTAATATCGAATTAAAACTCATTACCATCTGCTGTGGATGTAGTCTGGGTATTTACTCACAATCATTGCTCTGTAGAAGAATTCTTTTCTATCCTTTTGGTAACTGGGAGAGACCTGGAAGTGGGTTCTGTTGTTCAGCTCGCATTTGAAAGCTCCATCACCCAATAAACCGTAGTTGAAGGACACGCAATTTGGTTCTAGGAAGCATTTTATTTCACAAACGTCTTCGCTGAGTACTAGTTCACTTCTAATGACGTGTTTGATAAGAGCTTTATTTGCTTCCCTCTCTTTGAACTCAACCGTTCTACAGTCATCTAGAAAAAGAAACATATCTGAATAAACTGAACAAGAAGAGCTGTATGTCATTATTTTTTTATCGTATATACAACTTAGAGTGCAGCTTCCCACGACCATGCCCACCCGGTGATTTTGGCCGATTAGAAAACAACTTCAAGTGCGGCTTAAAC